CCAATCTAGTTAGCTGCCAAGCCAAGTTGGTGTTGCCACTAATGCAAGGCACCAGGCTGCATTACACAGCAGACTTACTCGCACCTATCAATCTCACATCTTCCATATTCAGGTTTTTCACTTGATCAAGCGTTAACTGGTTTAACTATTAAAATCCGTATTACTTCACCTAATTCAGGATTTCTACCATGCAGGTCCCCTGCTCGTAGATCCTATCAAGATTTATTCATGCAATGTAACTCAAACATTGCATCATACTTCCAATATCCGATTAACATTGGCACTGGTTGAAATTTGAAAAAATGGTACTAAATCAGCAAACATTCAGCAAACATTCAGCATACCATTCAGCACCTATTCAGCAAACATTCGGATGCCATTTGGTACAATCGCTGCCACTTAGCATTTTTGAATGCTGAGTAGTAGCGATTGTACCAAACAGCATCTGAATGTTTACTAAATGTTTGCTGAATAGATGCTGAATGGTATGCTGAATGTTTGCTGAATGTTTGCTGCTTTAGTGCTGTTTTTTCAAATTTCAACCAGTGTGGTGCAATGTGATTTACAGAGTTACAACCTTCAGAAATAGACAGGGTTTACCATAAGTTGGATACAAAGGTCTGAGTAATTATTCAAACTCGTTGACAGTAGGATTTGAACCCCAGACCTCTTACATGTCAGTCTAACAATCTAACCACTACACTAAGATCACCGAGCCCTAAGAGTATTATTAAAATTAGTAAAATAATGTAATAATAAACAAGAGTATAAAAAAACTTTTTGCTTTAATTTAGTCAGATTTTTTTTTCATGTTCATTAGCTTAATATCTTATATTTATTGACTTTACTCATTAGTTTTATTTTACCTTTTTTTGCATTCATTGGCTTTACTTCTTTTCATATTCATTAGCTTTATCTTCTTTGCATTCAATATAGGCTTTACTTTCTTCATATTCAAGTTTGGTTTTATGTTCTTTTGTATTCAAATTGGCTTTATGTTTCTTTATGTTCAACTTTGGCTTTACATTCTTTGTATTCAATATTTGGCTTTGTATAACCTTATGTTTGATATTGACTAATATTTTTTTGAATTTGATATTGGCTTAGTTTTCAGTATCTACTATTTT